ATTTATTTATTTATTTATTTTTACAGATGATAAAAATCTGTTGTGTGAATAGAGAACTTCAATTCCCAAAAAACGTTCAAGGACTTTCAAGGGCGTGTATTTTTTGGCTGTTGTCACAAACTTTCCAGGGCCTTGAATTTTTTTTTTCAAATTCACAAACTTTCAAGGATTTAAAGGACCCGTGGGAACCCTGGTGTGTGTTCTTATATTTGCTTCCAAAGACCAGTCCTAGTATGGTGGAATTCTATTTTTGGGTTGGGGGGTTGATTTATGGGGCGGCTGTTGCAGAGTGGTTAGGGGAGTCATCCTGGAACTGGAAGGTCGCTGGTTCGATCCCCCATTCAGCTGTCTCAGTTGTTGTGTCCTTGGGCAAGACACTTCACCCCAATGCCTCTGATGTGTCCCATCAGTGTATAAATGTGATTGGCACTGATTAGTCTCCATAGCTGATTGTTCATGTTAGCTTTGTAGAGACCTAATAGAGTGCTGTGGGAATGGATAAATGAGGACACAGATTGTAGTGGGAAGAGCTTTGAGTGTCCTGGATGGATAGAAAAGTGCTATATAAGTACAGTCCATTTACCATTTAGGAGTTAGGTTAGGCTTAGGGTTAAGCTGTAGACATTAATGGAAGTCAATGCAATGTCCCCATAAAGATAGCTGTCCTAGACAGTAGCTGCGTTTCCATTGCAAATGTGCGCAAAACTTTGTCAATATTCTGTTAATGTCGAAAAACACAGTTTCACAATTGCGGTGTTTTCATTAAGTGAAAAATGCTATAAAAGTCACGCATGAATACGCTTGTTCTCGTGATAATTCATTACAAACATGGCGGCAATGGATGTAAACACATAGCATGTTGCTACCACGACACTAGCGCTCATTATCAGCCATCAGAGGAGACATCGGAGTCTTATCGAGGCTTTCCAGCGACAAGCCCCTTACACTTWGGAGCSGCTACGTACGCTGTGTTTTTGGGAAATTGTAGTCTGTGAGTTTACTACTTTCTTTTACAACTTCGGTGATTTTACTACTACTTTTACTTCCTGTTATCTTCTTCTTCGTCGTCTTTTTCGCCAGTAGAAACTGCTGGTTGTTGATCACGTGACTCCCGTGATGCGAAAAAAGTGTTTCCTTCGCAGTTTTGCGAAACACACCAATTTCGATACGGCCAAAAAACCACCTCATCCTAGCACAAAAACATTTTGTCGAAAAAAGGAAGCTTTTACGAAATTGACCAGTTTCCATGGAGCAAATTTATTTTCGAAATTCTAATTTGCGCATTTTCATGGTCAATGGAAACGCAGCATGTGTGTGTGTGTGTGTGTGGGGGGGGGGTTTAACATTGTGGGAACCATTTTCCAGAAAAAGGCAGCATTGTGGGGACCGAATGGGCATGGTGAGGACCCATGCCCGGTCCCCACAGATATGGATGCTAGTATCGGGTGGGGGGGCTAAGTTTAGGACCAAGGTGTGAATTGAGTTTAGGTTAATTTTAGGGTAAATTGTCAGGGTTAGCATGATAAATCACCAGAAAATTAATGGAAGTCAATCCATGGTCCCCACAGGGATATAAAAACAAACATGTGTGTGTGTGTGTGTGTGTGTGTGTGTGTGTGTGTGTGTGTGTGTATTACCTGAGCCCTCTGATTGGCTGACACAGTTTCCAGATGAGTCCTTTAACCTGACAGGAACAGGAGGGTTACTGCACAGGTGTGTTTGGACTTTGTTGGTAACAGACCTGGAGTCAGACCCTCACCTGTCCGGGGCCTCAGGTGTGTCTGAGCTTTGACTGGACGCCTCCGGCTCTGTCAGACCAACCACAGCTTCCTCCTCCTCCTCCTCCTCCTCTGTGGTCACCACCACCTCCACCTTCACCTGCTCCACGTTCGAACCGCCTTCATCAGGGAGAGCGCCTGATTGGACAGCTCTGTGGGTGGCAGAGGGGTCGGGATTGGTTGGTCTGGTAAAGAAGGGGTGGGACCAGGCGACGAGCAGCGTTGTTTCCGTGTCTTCACTCACTGAGGAGGCCGTTAGGACTAGTTCAGGACTTTGTCAGGTTCAGGAGTGCTCACAGTCTGTCATGTTTGTACCTGTGGTTGTTGGGTGTCCCAGGCGGCAGCTCTGATTGGTCAGAAGCTCTCTGAGGTGTTTCCTGTCTTGAAGGAAGTCTTCCACATAAAGAGGGGCGTCGTCCAACCAAGAGGCAGCCTGCAGGACACAAAGAGGCTGTTCAGACCTGTCATTCAGAACAGTTTGATAAGCAATCAGGCATTTTGAATGAAGAGATGAGGAAGAGGAGTTCCTAAACCGAGCACCTGTCTGAAGTCAGGGACGGGGAACAGCTGCTCGATCCGAGACAGGAAGTCTGATATGAGGGACTGCAGGGCCGAGTCAAAACTCTGGTCAAACACTTCCTGGAGGAGAAACACAGAGAGGATGAGGATGATGCTGACGATGGAACGATGACGAAGGTTCAAAGCGCCGACCTGCAGGAGGCGCTGAGTGTCGGCGGGAGTCTCTGTCAGTTTSTTGATGACAGTCAGCAGAGTGGAGCAGCATCTGTCTACATCTTCTTCCTGCTGCAGAGACAACAAACAAACAGTCTGAAGACAGACAGCAGCTCATCAGAGCGGAGAAGTGTTGTGTGGACTGATGCAGTGGCGGCCATCTTTATTTGCTGTTTTATTTGCAGTGCATCATGCCTCATAACTTTGTTGGTTGTCAGATAATCACAGGGAACAGAAGTGTAGAAGGAGTTCTCACCGATGTCTCAGAGATGAGTCGGATCCTGTTCTGGTGAGTCTGAACATCAGCTGGATCACAGAGGGTCACCTGAAAACAAAGAAAACACTGTAGGGAAGCAATTTCCAGCTCGTTTTATTAAAATCATATTCACAGAAACATATTGAACTATCATTATGTTTAAAAGGATCCCCGATTAGTTTAACATTAGACTTTATTTGATAAACATTTATTTTAATTGTAAAATAAAGACTGTAAAAATACTGCAGGCTGTTTGGTTTTGTAAATTTTTAAAAATATATTTTAACACGGACTGAGTCATTTTATTTACACACAAAACATTCTGGGTAAATGATGATGTGGATAGGTCCTCGGTGTGAGCGACCTATATCCACCCTGAAGGTTAATCTTGGACAATATCTGATGATCGACTCTTTTAAATGAAACCAGAGAGCRTTGACAGAGAGGAGAAGGTAGARATGACTCAGCCTGGAACTGAAAATATGGATGGAGGACAACAGAGCTGCTTCATGGAAGAAGAACCTTAGTTTAGCCTGTTAGCCTTCGCGCTAGCGCTGACGCTATATTGCCTTATATGTATTAGCTCAGTGCTAGCGTGACAAGCAAACAAGCTAAACTGAGGTCCTCCATCCACATTTTCAGTTGCAGGCTGAGTCATTTGTGTGTTCCCCTCTGTCATATGGATGGAGGACCTCAGTGATGAGAGGAGAATGTGTAGCGCTGAGCTAATACATATAAATTGTGATAGCGTCGAGGCTAACGCTAAAGCTAACAGGCTAAGCTGAGGTTCTTCTTCCATGAAGCAGCTCTGTTGTCCTCCATCYATATTTTCAGTTACAGGCTGAGTAGGGGTGCGAATCTCTCAGTGTCTGACGATTCGATTTGATTCCGATTTTTAAGGTCACAATTCGATTCTGAAACGATTTTCGATTCTGAAACAAATTTTCTCAGTCTAATGTAGTTTTTTGTGCAATTTGAAAATAAAAAAGCAATGTAAACAAACATTTATTTGAAACAATTTTTGTGTAAAATCTTTTTACATCTTTTTCTGTATTAACAAAAATAAGACTCTGTAACTTGGATTGTTATAGCTTATTAATCTTTAACAGAAAATAAAATATAGACTAAGTCCAAAACGTTTTGTAAATCTTTAAAGCTAAAATAAGAAAAAAAGATGTCCATTTTTTCAACCATATTACATTCCATATTGGAGCGTTAGTCAGAGCTTCTTTCACTTTATTCTTTGTTTCATGATACAGCTGTGGGCCTGCTTTTTCACTAAAAAAGCTACKTGACGGTTTAATGTACCTTGGGTCCAGCGTATTGATCATGAACCTAAACCCCTCACCGTCGACTGAACTATATGGACGTAAATCCTTGGTGATACAGCAGGCGATGGAGTGGGAAATCTTCACAGATCTTGGAGAATTAGCTGGAAATGTGTTGCATTGCTCCAGAGTACGTTGGTCAGCTGCTTTTGGACGCTTTTCGATGCCTTTTATCTCGGGGTGATGTCGCRCCAAATGCGCACAGGCATTTGTTGTATTTCCAAAGTATTTCAATTTCATTTTGCACTGCCTGCAGATAATTGTGCTCATATCAAGCTCTTTTTTTCCCTGGGGCACTGCAGAAMCCAAAGTGTGTCCAAACACTGGCATTTAGCGACGACGGAGCGGATTGAATCAAGCTCTCCTCCTSCTCCATGCTAACAGACTCCATTAAGCAAGGGAGCTGGCTAACTAGCTCAGCGCCGCTAGTAGAGACGCCGCCTTCTACGGTAGCCGCAAGGGTAACGTAATCTACAGTACAGATTACGTTACCTTTCAGATTTGACAAACTTTAAACGCATTTTAAAATAGATTTGTGGAAGTTTAGAATCGATTCAGAATTGCCATAACTATGAATCTCGATACTTTTAAGAATAGATTTTTTTCAACATCCCTAAGGCTGAGTCATTTCTACCTTCTCCTCTGTCAACGCTCTGGTTTCATTTAAAAGAGCCAATCAGTGCTAGCAGCATCGCACCAAGGACCTATCCACGTCATCATTTACCCAGAATGCTTTGCGTGTAAATAAAATGGCTCTGTCCACGTAATATATTTTTAAACTTTTAGTTTAAAAATTATAAAAACTGAACAGCGTACAGTATTTTTCCACTCTTTTTTTTACAGTTAAAATAAAAGTTTATCAAATAAAGTCTAATGTTACAACTAATCATGGATCTCTTTAACAACATAAAGCCTATTCCATAATGCAACTAAGGCATGAAATTAAATATTTCTGGCCTAAAACTGTATTTATTGGTCAATCTGAACAGTTTTAGAAAAATAAAAAGAGGAACTCCAGTCAATAACATGCTCRTGCTCAGATGCTGAGGGTTTTGATAAACTTCAGTAAAATCCCACCTTGGCCCTCAGAGCCAACAGCAGCAGACCCCTCTGTCTGTCCGTCAACAGCTGTGGGACGGCCTCAGTTACCAGGGAAACAAAGTCCTCCAGCATCACATAATGCTTCATGCTTTGCTGCTGGGCCACCTGCCACATCGCTGCCGCCAGGAGGCGGAGGGGAGGGATGAGGAGGCGCAGGGAGGAGAGAGGGAGAGAGGAGGCTGCAAAGGAAGAACATGATGGATGAGTTTCATAAAGTAGCGTCTGATTTTACTAAAGAGCTTTTCCACACAATTTTTGATTGGCTCTGGTTTAAAATCTATAATATTAAAACAAAATCTTTAAAACACTGTGTGATCAATAAACACTTATTTCTGATTATGTAAAGAAATATCTATAATATTGTTTGTGGAAGTGTGGGTTGCATTTGGACAACTTTGAAACGATCTAAGTCTGGTTTAAAATTTGTTTTTGGCATAAAATGTTTAGTCCAGATTTGAACAATTTAACTAATAGATTTTGAATTGGAGCTGAACAAAAACAGTCCTAACATCATAAATTAAGTACAACAGCTCCTTGAGAAATATGAGAAGCTAACTTCGGCACAGTAATACAGGTTAAAGTGTTTGTGACATGCCTATCCTTCAAATACACAAAGTCAAAGGAAGCATATTTATACTCAATAAAATTGGCATTGTACACATGATTTTACACATTTTGTCACATAACTGGCATATTTTCTTTTAAATTTGGCTCAGCCAAAGTGAGACAGGAAG